AAATTACAATTGTACTTCAATTAATAGAGCAAAATAATGTGCACTAATTCACAATCTTTCGAAATAAGATGCATAAATAAATTGCATAAATATATTCAAAATAAATATCTGCATTGCTTTTCAACAGTGTTTCTCGTTTGCTATATCATTACGATATGTGATATTTAAATCTGATTCTTTTATTATTAAGATGTAGTTTACAAGCAAAATCTTATTTTACATTCAATTTCATGCCATTAATGTATTTTATTTAAAAATTGACTTTATCAGACTGAAATTTAATATAAATTAATTAGGAATTAAAATAATGATAATAATAACAACAATAATAATTGTAATATAAAATAAATTCTGAAAGTGTTCAGATATTAACGATTGCTCAAAATGTTTTGTGCAGGTCTTTCACGCTATCGCTGAGCCCGCAGTCTACCTGTTTGTTGTAGCAATTTACTGCTACTAACCCATTTCTTTTTTTGTCGTTTTAGCTTTATTATTAAGCATTATTTCTTTTCACTTACGTGATATACAGTTCAACAGCAAAATTACAAATTATATTGCATATTGTAAATTATATTGTATAAGCATAGCAGCACATGTTTAGACTCCCGATGCAGTTTTAAAGTGTCGGCATACTTTTTTTTTAGTCTTTTTTGTGTTTAGTGTTCTTATATCAATGTTCCGTTTTCTTAGTAAGATAGCCTGATTTTTTTTTTTTTTTTTTTTTGTCTTTTTATTATTAACGTTTTGTGCGTTAATTTTATCTATTAAATATCACGTTCTTCGCCCTAACACCGCATAAAATTCAACAGCAAAATCACAAAATATTTAAAAACAGCATACCTTTTAGAATTTCCGGTAGATAGTATTGGGCGCTATAGTTAAAAATGTTTTATTCTGTGCAGTGTTGCCACTGCTCGCTTTCAAATGATTGAATTTGTTAATCAAAAATTCATTACTATCTTACAAAATATGAAATATAACTTTCGAAATTTAAAATTTGGATTCTAGGTACACATGTTCGTACGCAGGACAACGTTATTTAAAATTTGATGGCTCTAGGTACCATTGCTTTTTCACAATGCGAGGAACATGCATACATACATACATGCAGATGCTTCATTATTTAATTTCTTTAAAAATAGTACAGGGCGATAGTAGTATTTGATAGCAACAATTAGAAAAGTGTTTCGCCGTTTATAGTGGATGGCGCAAAACCCCATTTCCAGACAAATTTGGATTCTAGGTACACATGTTCGTACGCAGGACAACGTTATTTAAAATTTGATGGCTCTAGGTACCATTGCTTTTTCACAATGCGAGGAACATGCATACATACATACATGCAGATGCTTCATTATTTAATTTCTTTAAAAATAGTACAGGGCGATAGTAGTATTTGATAGCAACAATTAGAAAAGTGTTTCGCCGTTTATAGTGGATGGCGCAAAACCCCATTTCCAGACAAATAACCCATTTGGGGTAACACCTTTTGGGTTAAATATAGTTCCAAATCATTGTCTCGGGGTCACTGGTGTCCTATTTAAGCGTGTCATTAGCCGAATTGTCAGCTATTATTGATTTGCTTTATAGCTTCTCTTTTTCTATGTAATTTCAAATCACCCTTTATTCTATTGCTTATTCCATCGGTTTGAAACTCAGATTACGTGCAGGCCAAAGGCACGATCTGAAAGCAGGTGTGACGGCCGGGACCTTTTTTTTAACAAAGCGATATTGGAAAATTTAAAAAAAAATTAAATAAATTTAAAATTTTCTTACTAAATATTTATCAAACCGTACTTAAACATAGTATGCAAAGGAAAATATTCAACTTTATAAACTTATTTCCTACTTGAAATCTAAAGTTTAGTCCCTGTCAGGCAGTTTTATTGATTGTACTTTGTAACTCAAAATATACTGACAGCTAAGTATTTAATTCTTAAACAGATGTGGCTTTCAAATAACTGTAAAACGTTTAATTATTAAGTAACGTACTTTAATTTAAACTGAAAATAAAAGAATTATGAAAACTTGCTAAGCTTTCAGAGAAAGTTAGAAATCGCAAAAAGTGCAAAGACAAATTGAAAATAAATAACAGCAACTTAATCTCTTGCTCTAATTTATTAAATTTTTCTTTAAATTAAAATATTCTTTCAATTTTTTTCAAATTAAAAAAACTGACAAAATTGACAAAACAAATTGAAAATAAGTAATAGAAACCTAGTCTCTTTCTCTAGTTTTAAATTTTTTTCAAATTAGAAAAACTTCCGGAAAATGAGTTTTCGAGATTATACAAGATTTTTGTTGAAGGTTCCGAAAATGATTATTTCCTTTAAACAATAGAGTATATAAAGAGCTGTTAGTGGCATGGAACAATAATGATAGTTAAATTGAGAATTCATTTGTTACTGACAATTTTACGTTAGAGCTTGTACTTCAATAATGACTGTTTTAAACACTTCTGTAAGAATAATCTGTGAGCACGCTTAATAATCTGCTATATTCTTCTCGTGTTAAGGAGAATTTTGGAAGCATCTCCTGGGTTATTTATTGCTGTAAGATCTGATGTAGAATAAAGAATCAAAATCTTCGAGTTCATGTCGTTTAGCCTTTTTAAAAAAAAAAATTATTCGAATCCATAGGAGACTAAAATATCCGTGTAAAATATTTACTTATGTATATTTTAACTAAGAAGCATCTCGTAACTAAAGCTTTCACACTATGAAAGCTTCCCATGTCTTACTGCTTTCTAAGTTGAAAGTTTGTGCTTAATTAACCGTTTACTTAAGCTCACTGACATGCCTTTCATAAACATCTGTGAAAATTTCCTGTGTCATCATATTTCACTAAATATTCCAAGATGTACTTACAGTTCTTAATAAAAGTATAAAATGTAGAACTTTACTATTGTCTGCATGTAATTAATGCATTTTAATTCAAAAATATAGCAGGAATGAAATTAGAAAAGTGCTATATTCAAAAATATAGCACTTTTCTAATTGTTGCTATCAAATACTACTATCGTCCTGTACTATTTTTACTAGTTATTAATCCAAAAGGGACGTTAGACTCGAATGGGATATTAGTCTCGAAACAGCATTTTTGGGATGAGTGACCATAAACGTCGTATCACTTTTCGAATTGTTGCCACCATATATTATTGTCCTCTATTATATTGTTACGTTTTTCCTTTTCTGACACCAGTTGTTGCGTTATTTTCTTCGTTCACGTTCGTACGGGGTTTGTGGATTTGGAGTGAATAACGACGGCACTTGATTTAGCCAATAAGACACTTTTTTATTTAGCCAATATTAATCCGGACAGCTCTAACACTTTTTACAGTCGTCGGAGATCTACTATAAACACGTTGGGGCAATCAGTGACACAGCCTTCACACTGTCAGGCAATAACGGTGGAGACAGCTTCACTGCAAAGCACCCGAGTACAGCTCCCAACTCTGCTTGTTGTTCTCGGAACTCCACCTACTCTCGAGACTCTCCAGGCGATGCACTAGAGTATAGCTCTCGACTCAGCACAGTCTAAGACAAAACTCGAAGATGCACTAATTTGAGATGCACTAAAAGACTCTCGATGCACTCGACGGCCACCTCGGCGCTAGACTTCGAGACACTCGCTCAATGACTGATTATGAGCTCGCTAGACGAGGCACACACACACTAACTGACTGCAGACCAGCAGGGCTTATATAGCTTTTGGCTTGTGTTTGAGAACATTCTGGGCTAAATCGTTCCAGAAGGTTCTCCATCCGTCCATGAGATATCGCCAATTTTGTCGCCAAATGGATTATTTCTCGCTGAATGTGGCAACCCTGCTTTCCCTTGCCATTTTATGGCAACCCTAAAACTGCTTTGCGGGAAAGCTATCTTACCGCGCCTGTACATTTCGTAACAATATTATATTTAAAGAAATTAAATAACGAAGAATGTGCTTGAATGCATGCATGTTTCTCGCAATGTGGAAAAACAACGGTACCTAGAGTCATCAAATTTTGAGTAACGTAGTCCTCTACCTCAACACGGACATCTGGACGCTCGAGTTTTGAATTTCGAATTTCCTTTATTATTTATTTCACATTTTGAAAAACTTTCAAGAATTCTTGATTAACAACTTTGAAAAACTTACATTTTCAAAGCAAGTTGTGGCTAACACTGTACGGAAATAACACTTTTCTCCAGGGCACGAGACTGTCTATCGGAAACTCTAAAGATATGCTCGAATTTTATGTGGCGTAAACGCTAAGACCATGATATTTCATAAATAACGTAAACCCACAAAAAGTTAATAATAAAAACATAAAAAAAGTTTTGTAAAACCATCTGACCAAACCTGAACATTTATACGATTAACTGAGAAAAGACCGTAAAAAAACAGAAACACATACGTAACACTTAGCAGTGCATCGGGAGCTATAAGATTATGCTGCTATTAAAATGTTTGTAATTTTGCTGTTCCATTGTATATGGCGTAAGTGCGAAGAAAATGATGCTGAATTATAAAGCTAATACGAGAAAAAAAAAAAAAAAAAAAAAAAAAACGCGTTAGTAGAAGTGAATGTAACAGCAGATGGTAGACTACGAGTTCAGCGAAAGCGTAAAAAATCTTAACAAACCCTTTTGGATGACCATTAAAATCTTAAACCTTTCAGATTTATTTTATTGGTGTTAATTTAAACATTGAAAAATGTTCAAAACTTCCTGATTACGCCCGTTCTTGAAACTAGTGTAGGCATTTTTCATATCGAAATTAGCTCCAGTGAAATGTAATTTTTTATTATTTGCAAAGCTAATGTAGCAGGCATTCTCTATGTTTATCATCTCAATAGGCTTTCCTTTTCTCCCTCATTTAGCTGTGAAATGTAATCAATAAATTATAAATGAAACTCTTAATTGTAAAGTTATTGATTTATAATACTACTTTGCTTTTTAATGCTCCTTTATCAAGTATTACGAGAAAGAATTCATAATTTCGCTTTTTCTTTACAGATTAACTCTCTCTAATGTACTTACTGCGCTTCTGATTCGAATAGCTTAGTTCTGGTAAGTTATCTAACAATTTTAAAAAATTTATATTTTGTGGAATAATTTAAAGTTTCGTATCAAGTATAAGCAGAAGTACCCAATCAACATCGTGGGATTTTATGTAAATATTTGAGTCCAACTATCCGATATAAAATGATGTGATCATAGATATAATAATTTTGGTACTGCTTATTGAGGTGAAACCGAGATGTTTAAAAACGATTAAAGGATCCTCTGCTATGACGCAATTCTGTGATTTCTATCATCTCTCAAACAGTATTGCGAGAACGTGCAATTTTTCTCAAATTTGCTACTTTTGATAAAATTTTTACGATTGAAGTTTATGTGTATGCAATTTTGCGAAATTTTTGATGCTGCATCATTTCCTTCTGCTACGTTTTTTAAGATTTTAAAATTTTTTAATAGATCATAAAACGTTTATATGTTAAAATGAGGTATCTGATAAAATAAGTATATAAAAAATAAATAAATAAAGTTATTTAGGCTTAAATAAAAGTACGCATCTGATCTGAGATCATGGAGTAGGTTCAGACAGTTTTCAGTGCCAGTGGTTGGTGTTTTTACATGCTTAACTGATTATTTTGTTTTAATTATTAAAGTTCTCTGGTAAGCAGGGAAGCTGTAAAAAGGGTATTTTCAAACAAAACCAAATATCGAAATTGACTGTATTGGGAACGCTTAGGTTCTATACTTCGAATGAAGATGTCATTTTGGAACATTGGTTTTTCCTTATTAAAATTCTGTAAAAAAATTAATCTATATATATATATATATATTATTGCTGCCCGACAGAAGAATGTAGTAAAAGGTTTAGTGCAATGAAAGGGAAAATATTGCATAAAAGTGTAAAACAGAGTTATGCACCTTAATACTAATAATGATAATTTTATCTTTTACAAATATTGCTTTTCACCAGCTCATGTTTATAATAGCTCAGAATTAAACATTCGAAGTGAACTTAAAAATCAAATCAAAATCAGTTTTCTAAATAAAAACTCAAAGAAATTTAACAATGAAAGAACGGAAATTTTATTAGTAACCATAACCTTATAAAGTCAACAAAGAAGATCATAAAATTCATTGAAAATCATTAACTGTTAAAATAAAGCAAAAAATAATGAATTAGGAAAATGAGTTGCTAATTCAAATAAATTAGTACAAACGCGCTAACAATCCAAAATTTAAATGTGACGAATCATTAAACAATTTAAAAATAAAATCTTAAATTACCAGTGAATCAATTAAAAGAAAAAATGAATGTTCAAACAATGGCTAATTACTAATTATGGTTTCAAAAATTTCGTCAAAACTAAGATACGTAGTTGAAATGATTAAATATGTAATTATAGTCCGTAACTTAATGGTAATCAATGGAGACTAATTTTTTATGACGTCAGAGGTCATATGAGCATACGAAACTTGACATCACAAAAATCGCGGAACCTCTGACATGTGCACCTTTTTGTGACTTTTTGATTCTTCTTCTGCTAACTTTAGTGGACAAATTTCTGGCCAGACTGCACTCATTACAGAAATGCTTTTTATAGCTTGCCGTTACTTTTTGACGACAAACTATCTGCGAACAGCTTGTCGTCAAAAGGTAACGGCAAGCTATTTCCAGCTAGGTGTTACAATTTCGCAAATTGTACATCTTGTACATCAGGGGTAGTATTTTGTACCTCTTCAATGTATTGCACTAAAGCTATATAAGCATCTTCTTGACAATATAAGATACATTTTTAGAAACAAATAGTAAAATTTCGGATCACTGCGTCTTATTGCTAATGACGACTATTTGAAAAGTTTTTCTTTTGACTTTTAATTATTTCTATTCCCCTCTCTCTTAAAAGCAATGAAATTTTCTGCCACTAAAAGCGTCTTTAGGTTAATTTGAAGCAGGAGAAGTGTAAGTGTGTAATGCATGTAGTTTAAAAAGAGTCCACTAATGAAAATCCCTCTTTAAGATAAAGCCTAAAATTTTGTAAAAATTTACAAAAAAAAAAAATTAAATCGTACAATATAAAATATCAAAGGGATCAAATATGAAACTTTTCATTTAAAACTGTACGTAGCATTTTATGAAATAACACAGACTTTTCGATTTTACTTTTAAATACTCTATTCATATGTTCCTTAACAGCAGCAAAATATGATATGAATTCTTTTAAGTAACTAAAAACGAAATTCTAAAACGTCCTTTTTGGTTAGCTTCGAGTGTTTCGTAAGGTAAGCAAGCTCATACAAAATCATAATGAGATGAAAAACAAAAATTCATCTAACTAGGACAGGCAAATCTAATAATAAAATAATAAACATTCTTTCGCCGCAGGTTTTTATTTTTCTTTTTTACATCGCCTTCGATGTTAAGCAAAACACATGAATACACAAATTCTGACGCGAACCTGCTAGATAAATTTACACTGCTGACAACGGCTGTAGTTATTTAGTTCTTAACATCGTAAATTTTTCTTAAATGTAACACACAGTATAGCATTTTAGTTTAGTTATTCTACTGCATGTATATATACTGCAATAAACTACAATGTTAATGCATTACATGCGATGCGACTCACAAATTCTATAGCTTTAGAAATTTTGAAAAATTTAACATTTACTTCCCCAAAATTCTCGACAGCAGCTGAATTTTGAAGCTTCAAGTATCGCATATGTGCACGGAAATTAGGTTAAAGACGAAAAACGCGGTGAATATTTTTGCGACCTGAGTAAATCAGCAGAAATTAAATATCTCATCAGGTAAAAGCTAAACAACTGTTTATATGTAGGCATGGAGAGTGAAATAGGAATCCCAGCATCAAGCTAAAAATAAAAAAATGGATAAAATTTATACTCTATAAAAGGAATAGTGTTCTATGAAAGGAATCGCCGACCAAATACATAGGTATCATAATTAACAATAGGCTTTCCTGGGTACCACACATTAAAGAGCTTAAGCAGAAAATATGTTAGCTTAGCAAATCCATGGCTAGAACAACCGAACCTCATTGAGGTAGTCCAATTACCATGCGCAAAAGCTGGTAAAGAACAATCTCAGAAAAGATCATATTATATGGGGCTCCACTATGGGTAAGGAAGCTCACCGCCAATAGGAGGAGGCAGCTTCTCATCATCCAAAGATTGCAATTATTGATAATATGCAAAGGTTTTAGAACATCCCAAACCGCTGCACTTGAAAGTGCTGGCGGGCATCCCTCTACTGGACCTTCTAGTGGAGAGAGAACTAAGATACCCTGCACGGACATATCGCACACAGTACACCTGCAGTACACCCCACCAGATGAGAAAGCTCTAGATATATCTACAAATGGCTCAAAGACGGAGAAGGGCACAGGATGCACCTACTGTGTACTCGAAGAAGGAGAAATGGTTGAAAGTAGGGAAACACGAATAGAGGGCAGAAACACCCTCTTTCAGGCCGAACTTTCTAGCATTAATAGTAGCCATAAGTCCGGCAAAGTATCAATTAGCAACAAAGGTAAATAAATATACAGAGCGACTTAACCTCAAGTTTGGAGGCCATCCGAGGACATAAGAATAGGAGTCTTTTAGGGCAAGGCATACAAAAATGTTCTTCTGAGGAACCCACCAGATGATAGACTCAACTTGATCTGGATTCCAGCTCGTGTGGGTATTACTGGCAACGAAGTGGCGGACTTGCTTGCGGAATCTGCAGCCGATAACTCCAGTAGACTGGACAGCCCAGTAAGTGTGGCATATTCTTGTTTAAAAAAATAATGCTCAGTAGCTTTGAATAAGAATGGCAGAAAAAATGGGAAAGCACAAGGAGGAGAACCTACAAATTCTTTCCAAAAGTTTCATGCTCAATTAAAAACACACACAGGAAACAAACTCATTTCTACACTGGCCTTTCCAACAACTAAACTGTTAAACAATTAAACTGCTATAATTTCGGTACTTAAATTAATTACGATGAATTCTTAATTAATTAATTATACTTTTTCTGCATTTTTTGATGAAACTGTTGCGACCGACCGGGTTTCTGGAAAGCATACACCGTCGTTAAATATTTTTCACGTTGTGTTTTGATGTCATTAAATTAATGTATGCTTACAAGCATAAGAAACATTAAAAGTAAGTCATAACCTTCTCATATTTACCCAAAACAATTTCTTAGGATTAGATGCATTTTTAAATAAATGAAATGATACTAATATGTCTTTTTGTTAAACTTTATGCAGATTTTTTAAATTTTATTTATTATATTTTGTTTTATTTTTTATAAAAAAAAAATTTTATTTTTGTGGCGGAGAGATTTTTTCCCTTGAAAATCTGAAATCAGCTGAAAGGATTTCCTTTTGTTAAAGGTCAAGACTCAAAGCTCAGTTTGATAATATACAATAAGTGTTTTCCTTTTACAGTTTTTTTAAAGTAATACAAAGAGTTTCGCATTGAAAGGGAAAATTCAAACATTGGTACCGAAGAGAGAGACTTTATAAAATTATCTACAGTATTTCAGAGCATTTCACTTTTAGTTTTGCCCCTTCCATTTTAAATTTTTATTTTCTAATCAGAGCACCTAAAGTTCAAGAATTTTCAGCCTGCCTGATGGTTTTTGCTGTAGATCTTTTGTGAAGTTTTCTGAAGAGCTTGAAAAGATTCAAAAGCTTCTAAACTTCTTAGCTACTAAAAATTTCTTAATAGCTTAGAAAGGTTCAAAAGCTTCTTTTTCCTCTCAGCTACTAAACTGTTACAATAGTTTTCATCATATAAACTTAGTTTTTGTTGGGATTCGTACAAAATGTTTAGCGATGTTTATGGGGGCGTAACTTTAAGAAAGATTACGGTATAAAATGTGATGATGTACGTAAGAATTTCTCATTTACATAGTATTTATTTTTGTGTCCAATAAGAAAGGAAACAGTGAAAGTTTTTTATTCTAAATCCATTTTACAATACCTTTTAGAATTCTTGTTATCTCTTTCTATTTATAGAAATTTAAATTGTATCAGCAATTTGTT